GAGGCTGGTACCCCCAGTTAGAAATTAAATTAACTCGCAAACGACGGTGGAAGAGACAGTCGAATGCGAAGGAGAGAAAACGTACGTATGGTATCTACATCAATAATTATTACAATCAGCTGAAATTAGTTTGACTTTTCATTGTAAATTTCATATAGTAATAAAAACGTTTTATATACATTGAAGGTGAAGAAGTGATTTAACAGTGCTTTCTTTTACTTTTGAATAACGCTGTGTAACACTGGCTCTTTTCCTTAATATATAGTTTAATGACGTGTACCATAATAAAAACGTATAAACATCATATAATTTGTAATATCATAATAAAGAGTTTCTATTAAAATATTAGGAGGAATGGAAGACATTCTTTGATGTATGTTTTAAATGTATGACTTCCAACAGTTTTCCCGGAAGGTTGTTCTAAAAAGAACTTGCGTCTTAATGTAATTCTGTTGCATTTTAAAATCCACTTTAATTACTTAAAAATTGCAAACCACCTATATATTTAGTATTTCCACAAGCATTTTTTTACTTAACTGCTTTAACTTGACCAAATCCCGAATACACAGCAAACGACTCCAGGACATGAAAGCAACTCTCCCAAAGCGTATTTTAACCTGCCTTCGCGTAGGACGTATGGGCTGCTGTTTGGGTCAGTCGGAGGACATGACGACATGACATAGTAAAAAATATATAAATACACGTCGCTCAGAAATTCTTTGTTAATAATACGTAAACATTTCGGTCAGTGAAACTATTAATAGTGAACATTTTCCAAAGTAAAAATGAATGAACGAAATATACCAAATAAACCAACGTGACCTAATCACATTGAGAGCCAATCAGAAGAGCTGTATCAGAACTGTTTAAATACAAAGATCAGTACTACACAAATTATTCATAACTAAAATTACCTTGATCAATTACCTTGATATAGTCACCAAGATTACTTTCAGTACCACTCAAAGTGGTTTTGAATATTTATTATAGCCCTGATTATTCAATTAAAAAATAAACAAGATGTTTGTATGTAAATACATGAAATTCCAGAGAAGATACTGTATACCTAGGCTCTGCAATGCACTCAGTAGCACTTCATCTAGAATTCTGTATTTAGTTTTGGTCACCATACAAGAAAATTTGATAGCCTTAGAAAGACTTCAAAAAAGACTTCAAAAAGAGAGCAACAAAAACGGTCTCAGAACATACAAGCGTGTGTAATCCTGTGGCGAACTTAGGCTAAACCGAGGAGACTGTTTCACACCCAGTATTGAATCAAGGACACAGGGTCAACACAGGAAATTTTAAGGCAATCAATTTAGACAGAAAATAGGAAACACGTCCTTAAGGAGTAGCGCGTGCCTGGTACACAATCTAGGCACTTTTAAGAAATTGCTGGGCGAAAGCTGAGATTCACTTACGTACTGAACTACCAAAAGACCAAGAGGAGCCAAATGGTTCGTGTTTGCATACCTGTATTATGTTCTTATGATGGATAAAAGTGTTACTAGGGATACAACAGACGGAACTGGAGTGGGCTGTAGGTTGTAGTCTTACCTTGTGTCCTGTACTTCCAGGGATAGGCACATGATACCAGAAATCAGCAGCTTTCTGATAAAAGATGGATGTCAGTGTATTATTTGTTACATACAGTACTCACCCATTTTGCAATCAACAAATGGAGAATGGTGGCACACCGAACTGTCACAGCCATTCATCTTGTGACACAATGCATTTCTCTTGCTGCCATACCTGCAAGTATGTCGGTACTTGAGTTATAGGACTTGCATATAAGAACTGATTAACTATTTGCCTCCCACAGTGCTTTGACAACTCTGTGCCTTTGATGTGGGTATACTTGTCATAGCCTACTACTGACATGACCAGACTTGAAGCGCATTTGGGCGGTAGAGTTCTATCTACACTCTCGGCAAGTATCTCAAATCGTTCAAGTTTAAAGTTTGTTATATGGATCAGAGTACAAGGAATGCTTACATGCATGTTTCCTCGGAAAAAAATGGCATTACAAATTGTTGGAGACAAGAACATAAAACAGCACATACAGCATGCCAATAAGATAGTGGAAAGTAGCAGTGTAAAATACAAGTAGCAGCAGTACGTATAAACCTACAGTTAGCAGCAATACACAGTATATAAGATTAGTACACAATACAACAGCAGCAATATAAATTAGAAGAGCAACAACTGTAAACTTCAGCAGCACTCAAATAGCAGCAATTTGCAAACTCCAATTTTTTTGTGCATACTGTAAATGGTTCAGGTGACAGTATTTTGAGTTTAGTGTAAAAGCAGTGGGGTGCAGTGAGGGTAGGAGGTTTAAGAGGTGGTGTTCAGAAGTCTTATGGCTATGATGAAGAAGCTTTCTTTGAATTCGGAGGTTTGGGCAATTACTGTATACTCCTAACTCTTCTGCCAGAAGGAAGAAGAGAGAAAGGTGCATGCGCAGGGTGGTTTTGATCCTTGATTATATTTTGGGCACTCTGAGGCAGTGCCAAGTGAATTGTTTAAATGGAGGGTTCCTTATTAATGATGGCCTAGGCTGTCTCCACCAATGTCTGTAATTTTTTTTTTTTACTGTTGTGACAGTGTAGTGGGAAGCGCCGTTGCGAGCACCGGGTGAGGGGACAGAAGCACCAGTGTGAGGTTAGCAGGGACCAGAAATAATACAAAAAGAGTGAAAAATAAACAAAAAGGCAAAAAAGAAAGAGTACCACTGTGTCTTGTAACCTCCAGGCTGGGCTTATCCTATTTAACGGGGTCAAACCTGGGAAAAAGAATCGCTAGCACAGCGGTGACCAAACTGGACTTACAGTACCGCATTTAGCGGGGTCCAGCCTGGTAAGCAGGGCACATAAGGCAAGAACAAGAACTTAGTGCGAAAAAAAAGTGCGTGTGCCTGCCCCAGTGAAAGTCCGTGATGGGACAGGCAAAAAGAGAAAGGGAAAGCAAACTATGACAATGGTTTAACTGACCATGATACACTCAAATGGCTTTGTGTTGCACAAAAACTACATAGCCTTACTAAAGAATGTGTCAGTTGGCACAGATAAGGTCACCTGCTGACTGTCAATCCAGGTGAAGACCAATACGCCCCACTTACCAAGAGCATGCTTTTGTGCCACTGGTATGCTGAAGCAACTTCTCAGGTGGACTGGTCAACAGTAGAGCAAAGCCTTCTTTAGCAATGAATCAAGGTTTGCATGGACCACCCCAGTAGACCAGCATGTGTCATGCAGACATGTAGAATTATATGCCATTTGTTGTGTTGAGCAGACACATTAATGGAGAGGTCCAAGCAGTGTGATCTCAGCAGGAGTGTATAATCATTAACAATTCCACCTGTAGTAATTAATAGCAGCCTGAATACATAGTGCTTAATTGATCAAGTTCTGAAACCTCACTTTCTGCACCTCCTACATGGTCATCCAGACGTGACAGCTTGTAACAACATCTTTCTTGAAAGTTGTTGATGAGGTATGCTGTGAATAACCTAACAACTACTGTAGGTGCAGGGGACGCTTGAAAAAGGGTACATGCTCTATAACAGAAATGAGACAATGTACAGTTTGGATTATTTCCGGCGTGGGTCAAAAGTAGTTGTGCTGGAATTCTACATGGTGTTTTCAACTCCAGCCTGGAGCTAATGTGGTTTGAAGAAGTCTTCCCTTTATCAGAACTGATTATAATGAGTGAAAACCCTTTCATTTCATTAATTCACATATAGTCATAAGTGTAACAAAAATCACTAACATGCACATAATGAAAAATGAAACAGCTCGCAGAACTAACAACCCATTTCTTAAAATGCTGCTGGTTAAATTAAAAAGGAGCAACCTGTTACCTAGTCACATGTGTTCAATTAATGAGAACATATAGGCTATAGCTTTCTGCAGCAGCAGTACTTTTTCCTCCAGGCTGTGGCAATTCAATGTAAAGACATTGATCTCATTCACTGATCATTACTGCTCATTTTGTACTCATTAAGCTACAGCTTTTAAAATTAGGTACAATATGTCAGAATGTGGTGTTGGGTTACCAAAAAAAACCTGAAAAAATTATATCTGGTCTTTATTGAATACAACACCTGTAATGTTCCCTTACATGAGTAATAGCCCGAAATGCCAGTGCTTCAGATCTGTTGGCAGCTGAAACTTGCATCTTGCTTCTTGCTTCTTCTGCTCTGGAGAATGAGAGGTTTAAGAATTGTCCAACCCTAGAACTGACTAAGATGGCCTTTGTAATTGACCATTTCACCTTTTAGCTTCCCCTTTTTGTTACCTTATTAGGGCATCTTTCCTCACAGGTCTATAAGTGATTGTACTTCCCCCTCTTATATAGAGAGGTTTAGAAGCATTTTCTCCACATTTGACCTCTTAGGTCTACGCAATGCTCAGGTCTGCTTACTGACAGACTTCATATTGTTGGATAGTTGAAAAGGACACTAAAACAACCCCACTAACCTAATGCGTTCTGGTTCTCTGCAACTGTTTAGCTCTGCAGACATGGAGGAGCCACTAAGCTGATGGATTGAGCTAAATGTATGCCCTCATTGTTTACTTTATATAATTAAATTGTACACAGTTAAATACTGAACCTGTTGAACACTTATGTTTTTAATATTCAAGTCATATGGATTTTTTTCTGATTTTTATTTTTACTCTTGAGCTCACTTAACCTGCACTTGAGAGCAGATTGATGAAAAAAACGGTTCCAGACTCGCTTTCAGCTAAAAATACCTTTTGCTACATGAATCTTGTCAGTTGTCAAGCAAGAGCACATTGGAAGACAGATGTCATATACAGTACTAAGATATCCTCTATTTTTTTTCCTCCATGCTCCTTGGGAACATTGATGATCCCGGAAATTATTGTTTAATTCGAATTGTTAAATTGATGTTTAATTATTCCAGTTATTGTGTTTTATTTTTTCATTCAACATTATTTTAATTTTTTCCCCAATATATGAATGGGGGACAATGTCCTTCTTTTACCACCACCTTCTTTTAACTGCGAGCTCCTGTGTTCTCGCTCTTTACCATCTGTGATTAGTAAACGCGCACCTGTAAGCCATGAAAGGACAATACACCCTGGCGTCCGTGCAGTTCTGCTCTGCTGCCTTCTCTTCTCTCACAGACACAGGCAGGGTGAATAAGGGTGGATCACTGCAGTATCACGAATGGCAATTCTCTAAATGTGTTCGTGCAAGAGCTAAGAAAGCTTCGCTTTGGACTTGATTCGGGCTACACAAAGCCTTGGGAAAGTGCCAGTTTACATAATCCATAAAGTGCACGTAGTGCAAATAACAAAGCAGAGGCTGTCTGAATCCCTCCACCACCCTATCATTATGAGTTTCTTTTTATGGACAAAACAGGAACATGATGATTCAACTGAACACTTCACACAATGAACTAGGAACAAAATATACAATCAGTATTTAATAAAGAAAAAAATATCTTTACGATAAAGAAAATATTCTAGGAACTGTTTTGGGAATAAAATTAAGTCATTAAATTAGTAACACTGGTGGACCAGATAGACAGAGTTTGTTTTTTGTACATCAGATATAATTGCCAGAGGTAGTTTTTCAGTCCCACATATCGTATTGCATTAGAGTAGCTGTACTCAATACAGAACACAGTCTATTAAATCTGGGAAGGCGATGCTGCCACCTCCTACAGTACCACAAAAGGAAATTATATTTATACAGATCACATAACATTCAGGTAATCAAAAGTTTTTTTAACACTTTTAGGAATAGGAAACAAAAATGACAAGAGGACATGTGAGGCTGGTACTGTACCTCCAATTTAAAATGCTTATTTAAATAATTCATTCAGTTGGACAGGTTAACAGGAAGAACTTTAAAAATGGTTAGAAATTGTAAATTTGTGCACAAAATCAGTCCAACCCCGGCATTTATTAAAGCCCTTCTCTTCAGACGTGTAGGTCATCTGCTTTCACCATATTTAGAGCATTATAGTCCATTTCCATTTTCTCACCAAGATCTCCAGTGACCTGTCTATCAGTCTTGGTTACCTTAGATCCCAGAGCTGCTGCTTCTTCAAAGGTAGTTGTTAGAGGATTTCCAAGGGTTTCAGGAAGCATCAAAGTTAACAAGCCAATGGCAAAAGCCAGAATCCCCACAATTAACTACAAGGGGAATAAGAGATAATACATGAATACTAATTCACACTCATTAACCTACAGTTTTGGTTTCATGAGTGCAGTATAACATTAACAGAAATACTATTTCTATTTAAAATATGCATTTTAAAGAAAACAATCTGTAAAAATAAAGTGTACAAAAGGGAGACATACAGAAAGGATGGCCTTTTCTTTACAGGTCCTTAGACACTGCCACAAACATTCCCCTAAACATCCCAGGGGATTAAATGAATATGTATGCTAGCTTCGACTGGAAAAAAAACTAGTTTTTTAGTTTTAGTGGGACAAAGAATACCTTTAAAAACTAACTGATGTTATGTTAATTACAAATCACTTTTCAAAAGAGGAGTTCAGAATGTAAGAATGACAAAAATCAAAAGTTTAAATTAGCAGTACCATGGAAGAAAAAAAATAGAGAAAGGCAGCTGTGAAGCAGTCATATAATAAAATGATTGAAATCTCCCCATAGAATTATCTAATTCCTCTCTTATGACTGTTTATTGACTCTGCCCCCCCCCCAACTCATTCTGTAGCTGTTGTATTTGCAAAAGAATTGCATGGCTTTTAGTGCAGCTGTCAGAGACATCCCCGTGGTATTACCTGAGGCAGGAAGGTCCAAACGCTTGATAAATACACACAGAAGGGGGCCACTACACTCCCAATACGGCACATCATACTTCCACTTCCAACAGCCAGAGACCTGAGGCAGGCAAATAAAACAGGAATTCTTTAACTGTTTACACTTGTGTCTGCTGAGATTACATCTGGGTTATCGCCCTCTTTTGAAAAATGGCCAAAGGACCTCATCCACAGAGCAGCAACTCCTTAGCACAGAACAGTGTCTGCAGTCGCTTTACTGGGACACTGGTTTGGAAATTCTGCAGAAGGATGAGATACCTACTGGTTTACCACCAACACCTGCAGCAGCAACCTGAATTTTTTTTATCATTAACTTCCTTCACAGAATTTACTGTAAGACAACAGATGAAAAGCTGAGATCTAAAGATCTAAGAGTTCTCCAAGTTCTTATATAATTTTAAATAAAATCATTACACCTATTGTATATCATTAAAAGTCCTCAAATTAATTTCATGATTTGATCAAATATACATACCGCACTATAGTTGGGTAGAGCTCACATGTATACAAGTAGATAAGGCCAAAAGCAATTGCAATGGCAAACTTTCCAGTCATGCTTAGAATGATCACCAAAACACCAATGTCCTGGGAAGAAAATGAACATACTTTTGAGTAAAAGTGCATAACAAACATTACATCTATGTAAACCAACTTCTTAGATTCAATATGAAAGTTTAAAAAATTAATGTCAATACTAAAGACTGGAGCTTATATTCTCCTTTTATACAGCTTGATGCACTGGAGCAATTGGGGTACAGTACCTTGATCAAAGACACAAAAGCAGTATCTGCAACAGGGACACTAATCAACAAAATCCAGTTATGAATTAAGAGCAAATACACTAAGATGCTTCACCACACCTACATACTTTCAGTAGTGACCTCACTAAAAATACAATTTCCAAGACAACTGTAAATCTAAAACTAATATCTTAATAACAATTAGCTTTTTTTTTTTTACAGGGAAAGGCAATACAGCCTTTAATAAAGCAAGGCTTTAAGAAAATCTCTCTCCCCATCTTCTACAGCCATTGAACTTTTCTTTCCATAGTAAAAAAAATGTCATCAAAATATGTTTTAATCATTAAAACAGAATGAGTAGGACTATTAATGCTATGAATGTAAAACTGTGCAAAGGAAGATTGTACTTTTGACAGTCATAGGAACCCTTGTTCTTTAATTAAACCTGGTTCTTATTGTGATACGGATCATAGGGATACGGAGCAGTAAGCCTATAACAAATTTGTGTAGGTAGCTGCATCAGCATGCATAGGCTGCAAAAGAACAGGTAAAGGTTCATTCCATGCTGAAAGGAAAGGAAAAAGAATAAACATAAACACGTCAAAATGTTTCCAAATTAACCACAGGTGACCAAGTTAAATTTGATGCCAACCAGTTAAATATAATTTAACGTTTGACATTCAGAAACATTTTTTCCAAATTTCCCTTTAGTTACATGATTACATGATTGCATATTATTATTACATATTAAGTGGATTTAAAAAGTATAAAAAAGTATTAATATTTCATTTATTTTTGTTGTGGGAGGTTCATGTTTTCACTAACATCTAACGTACACAAGTGCTACATATCGATCGTCCTTGTCCAGTGAATCACAACGACAAAGAAAGCCGCAGCAAAGCGAAGCCCCTGTAACATGTTACAGGATTTTAATGCACATTCTGAATGGCTACATCTGTACATATTTGGAGGGCACTGTACATTATGCAGAATATACTGTATTATATACAGTGCCCTCCATAGGTATTGGAATAACAAATTCATAACTTATTTTTACTTTACTCAAACAGTTTGTGATCTTGAGACCAAAATAATTGAGACTAAAATAAGTACAATATACATTTTATAATTTCATGCATACATGCACACAAGAACAAAAACATGCTTTGTCTCCAACCCAGTGATTCAAGTGACCTTAGATATTGGGATACCTTCAGTTTAAAGTGTAAAGGTCAGTAAATGGTTCCTTATTCCTTTATGCCATGTAGACAATAACTGAATGAAATCTGAGTTGCACTGAGCTCATCAAGCTCTTAAATCATTAGAAGTACCTTGATGAAGTTATTTTGAGCTCTTCCCTGTTCTTAGTGTGTTCTGATTTCTATTTTATTTGTTAAGCATGTATAATTCTTGCGTAAATTAATTTAAATATGGAGATTTACTTGTCCGATCAAAGATTTTTCCACTTTTTTTCTCTTGACCAACTCCTATGTGATAAATACATAAGTCCCATTATGTACTGTATGGAAAGTTTTACAGACAAAATGTTTCTGGAAAGTTCAGGAACATCATTCATTACATGATCAACAAACAAGTGACCCAGTTTCAGGGGCAATCTCATCATAAATACAACTTTCTTGACTATAAAGCAAAAATACAATTTTGACTTTGCTATCCCAATGTTTTTGGATGGCACTATTCATCACAGTTATTCATCACAGTTATATTACACCACAGTCTGAGGAAAGAGAAGGCCTTCTAGCGCTTTTTATAATTGCTACATATGAAGCGGCAGGATAATTCAAAACTAGCTTCTTTTGAAAATAGAAAATGTTCCATCAAACAATAACAAAAAGTAATTTGAATAATAAAGGGACTACCCAGAGTATATTCACCTGAAGACATACTACAAAAATGAAAGCCGTTTAAGAAAGCCATTTGTTTAAAAGATTTACTTTGTTCTTCTAGAAACACTTATTTGAAAGAGATTTGCTTACCTATAGAAGACCTTTAACTTTAGATTGGGATATTCACCTGATTCTCCCCAATTACCCTTTAAGGCTGCACGTAGTCAACATCATAACTAACAACCACCTCATGTCATTATTTAACTACTCAGCAGAAGGTGACGCAAGATAATTTATGATGCTTCCAGAAGATGAACGATTCATTTACTTAATAAATCCATCGGTGTCACAGAATTAGAAGAATGTGAGAAGGAGAATTAAAAGGTGAGAAGATTTTTTTTAAATTTAGAATCACTGATTTTTTTTTGTTACACCTACCTGATTTGGAACAGTAAATGTGTTTTGCATATCTTGGGTTGTGGCTACAAACCCCACAAGCACACACAGGGGAAAATGTGGAAGCGTAGGCCCCAACCCATCCACCTTCAAGCCAATTGTCTTTGGATACGTCACACAGGCAACACAACCGCACACCGAAGCTCTAATGATGACTGGGGCTTCCCTTGATGATCTGCACCATTCAAATTATATTTCTGTGTACTACGTAAATTATTTTTTGCAATATTTAAAAAACGGTAATCAAACGGGGAAAAGAGAAGCAAAAGGAAAAAACGGAGGCTGCATTGTGGTGCTTCAGAAGCCAAGGCACTGTACCTTTGGCACTACTATTATGAGAGCACATGCTGTTCCACTCAGAAGGAGTGATGGAGCCAGTGTGTTCCTTCTCCCAAGCCTGTCCATGGCAAAGCAAGCAACAATGTAGGAAGGGAGCTCTACAGCACCTGGCAATGAGAACAATTAACATGTAATCAATAGAGGGTCAGTCTCACTTTAAAAGGCAATACACAGTACACCTGATCATGCTACACTTCAAATAAGACAACTTCCTGCTCTGCATCAAATATTAAAGACATGGAAAAATTATGTCTATACAGCTGTGCACTGATTGAAAGCACGATCTAGTTTTATAAGGATTTCAAAACCATTTTATAAATTGTTGTTTTAAACAAAATCCATTTCAAGCATTTTTACTGGATAGTTCAGGTGGGTGGCTGCGTCAGCATGCGTAGGCTGCAAAGGAACAAGTTATAGGTTTATTCCATGCTGAAAAAAAGAAGAAAGAAAACACAACGTTTAAGCCACGGAGCCTTCTGTGCTCACACCTAAAGAAGGCTCCACGGCCGAAACATTATGTTTTCTTTCTTCTTTTTTTCAGCATGGAATAAACCTATTACTTGTTCCTTTTTACTGGATGACATTTCTCCATGTAGAAAAATAAAATCTTTTATGGACATTATAGCTCAGGAAAGTCACATTTTCTGCTGAGTAGTCCACATATGTATTGGAGATACTGCGTAAGCTATTACTACAAAGTATAACCTAGTTTGCTTTTGGTTTCATTTTAAATTACTACACCAAATGTCATTTAACTGTTCTTAAGGCCTCTTGAGTTAATGAAGATCGATAAAGTATTTTAAAAAGCATACAAAAGACCTGAATTTACACACTACAATGTTAAAACAATCATATCCCCAGCTTGGGTGGTTACTCATATAGTGTTTGCTTTTTCCTTTATTTTGCCTGTTGAAGCAGAAAAAAAACACAGTTTGTGGTAAGGACATCACAAATGCAAGCCTCTCTCATGTCATTTGTTAGTAATTATGACTGATTCTCCAAGTGGCAATGCACAATTAGCATAGCACCTCTGGGCTTTAAGTTGGGACTAGCTGACCTGGCCTCACTTAGGTGCCAGCAAAATGGTAAGTCCTGAGTTTTCCCAGGTGTCTGGAAGCTTGTGGTGACATTGGTGAGGGACATACCTATTTTCAATCACCACTGAGCCTCCTGGACTTTGCTCTAGCTTCATCAAAAAAACCTGTTACTAAAAACCATCAATAGGTGGGCGGTTCAGAGGATACTGTCTGAACTTCTCCCCATGTGGGTACAGAGGTCAATGTGAGCCAAGATAAAACAGGAAAATCCTATTTGGGCGAGTATATATAGATTTTATATAGAACAGACAGATTCTTGAGTAACACGCTAAAGTGAAAAGGTTGTAAATTCATGCATTAACCCCTTTTTAGCATTAATGTTCTGTCAATATCAGTAACTTGATAGCAAGTGATCCTTAATTTATATAATTAATGAAAAGCATTTTAAAGAAGGCAAGGATGTACATTCCAGGAACAAATAATGTACAAAATACATGATATGGCTCAGACATATTATTGTGTTAATATTACAAAAAAGTACTTGCAATTAAAAAACAAATGGCTGTGTCCATAAACAGAAATCAGAATAGATCAGTTCTGGAACAAAGTAAGAGTCTGTTACAATAAATTAAAATATTGTTCCTACCTGCAAGAAATAGGTTCACAAACTGGTTTCCTCCAAGATTAACAGACCCCAGAGAGAAGACATAATAGCCTAAACTTCCAATAAACCAAACCAGCCACACAGTGATGGATCTCCCTGCCATCTTCAAGGAGCCAAAGAGGTCCAAAATACTGAGCCTCTTCTGTTTTGTCACCTCATTTCTCTCAAGCATTGTTTCCCCATCAGATTCTAGCAGGTCTGACACCTTGCAAGAGCGATTTATGCCATTGACCCAGGTGATGGTGTCCAGCAGGTCTTGAGTTTCTTGGTACTTTCCCTTGGCCAACAAGTAAAATGGGGTCTCAGGTAGCTTCCAGCAGATGAAGAGGAAGGGGAGTGTGCTCAAGGACAGGACGATCTGATAGATCCACCAGACACGGACCAGGTATCCAACCAAGGCCACCACCATAACCCCAACTGCAAAGGCAGCATGGACGTGCATGGAGGTCCAGGTGCGAACTTTATTCCCAGTGAATTCCGTCACATAGACAAAACACACCACCAGGTAGCCACTCGAAACCTACTCAGGAAAAGTAAAAACAGTAATCATCTATATTGAAACCGTCAGGGGAACAAAACATTGTCTTATTTTAAAATCAGGAGACAGAGAATCACATATTCTCAGAATTACTCAGTCTTGTTTCCATTTTTTTTCTAAAAATTGGTTTTAATCCTTAAATCCATGAGGCTCAAACAGTAAGTTATCCTTTATGTTATTCCTCATACACAATAGCTTGTAGCCGATTTCTTTTCAACTGGATCCCTTACTGTAGCTCTTAAAAACTAACAAAGACAACATGTCCTATCCTAATATGCAGTCAGCCATCTGCTGTTTACAAGGGGAACACAGAGCCCAAAAAGGAGACTACTCTGATTCTATCTGTAATTGACATGGCCCTTCCTGACAATAACACAAGTAACCAACCAGATAACAAGAGTTGCTTGTGCACAGAAAGCCTAGGGATCTCAACCAGCTTCATCCCATCCAGTTACGGATAACCAATCTTCCACCATCCCCATGGAGGGTCCCAAACACTGCTGGAATAAAGTACAGCCAGGTAAGATAGAGTCCAACACCCTACTCCCCTCTTTAAGCATACGTGTTTGCCAGTCATTTCTACACTTCTAAACACTATTGTGAGATATGAAATATCAACAGAAAGCAAGTGGGTAGCATCATGATTACCCAGTATACATTATGTGGCTTGCTGACTTTATTAAATGGACTAACAGGTCCATTGGAAGTTCCTGCCAATCCGCCAAGCCTTTTCTCGTATATTGTGGATATAATCACAAACCTCCCATGTAAAACAAACTGCCCCAATTGAAAAGATACAGAAGTGCCACAACTATGATAGTGAAAAGAATAAGTGTGCACTAAATAAAGTGAAATCAATTAAGATAAACCACGTCTAACCCAGTCAAATTGGCTGGACCTGTCCGTTTGTGCATAAAGAAAGGAAAATTATTATTTTCCCTCAACATACCCCATATTGAAGAAACTGGTTAAGCGAGTTTTAATTTAAAAAATCAAAGTTATTTCTGCTTTTTTGCTCGGTTCTTCCTTATGCTCCTGGACTTTGTTGGGCCAGTAGAGGCTATTCTGCTCAAGTTAAAATCGCATCTTATGTGTCATCTTTCACTCATCTTTCACTCCATACTAAGTATAGGAGTGTAGAGCAACTTACAGCATTGAATGAAAGAATAGTGTTGATCTTACAAGTACCATAACACTGCAAGATAAAGTGTTTGTTGTTGTGTAATCTCCACAGTGGTTAGCCCACCGACAAAGCCAAGACTCTAGACCTCAATGTATGGTCTAAACAAGGATATTTACTGGTTGTGCCTCTTGGGAAGTCCAAATTCATTCATCCATTATCAGAAAAGCTGCTTATTCCTAGTAAGGGTCACTCTACTGCAGTGCACATGGACACAGAAACAGTTTAGAGACACCAATTGAACTAGCCAGCATCTCTGGAAAATGTGAGGAAACTGGAGCACCTGGTGCAAGCCCACATTATTCTTCAGATAACATGCAGACTCAACACAGATGGTTCTCCAGTCTGAAATTCAGGACTCAAAATCTGAGGCAGTAGTACAAGTTACCACGCCAATCTGATGTCCATATTTCAATCATGTTAATTAAAAAATAAAGATTATCCAAATTATAAATGTTACTTATTATTTAAACAAAATTGTATGAATGACTGACTTCAAGCTACTCTCCTCCACATTCTCCTTTATCATTTCTTGTAAATATACAAATTCTGCAGACAATGTTTACACTTACCATAGCCAAGATGAAACGAATGACAACAAAGAAATAATAGTTGAATGTAAAAGCAACTATAATTCCAAAACCAAACTGGCACAAGCTTGTAAACATCAAGACTGGCCGTCTCCCCACTCTGGAAGAAAAAAACAATGCGACCTTGAATTGGATAAAGCAGTAACAGATGGGTGGATGATACGTTCTATGGAAAGAGTATCTTGCTACAAATACACATATAATGAAACATCACACTACTTCTTGAACTCCTCTCTAATCTTTGCATAAAAAGGGAAAGAAAAATTAGTTTACTTGTAAAGATTACACTGCAATGTCCCAACTCTGAAATACAAAGTATGCGCGCTCTCAAGGTTTTTATTTTTAGCTCTCTATAACATGCAAGTTTTCACAGAATACTTAAAACAGCAGATCAGAATTCTTCAAACTTACCTTAAAACGTACTACAATAAACAGCTGTGTATTAAGGACACTGTATCACATTTTTATATGATATTGCCTGTAACATATATTTCTTATTAGAATGTTTTTTTTTAGGTAGAACAGGGGAGCAGTACTGGGCTCAATCCCAGACCAGAGGTGCTGTCTGTGTGGAGTTTGTATGTTCTCCCCGTGTTCATATTGGTTTTCTCCAGGCACTCTGGTTTCTTCCCACAGTCTAAACACATAATGGCAGGTTAACTGGTTTCTCAGACAATTGGCCCTGGTGTGAGTGTGCATGTCTGTCTCTGTGTGTGCTCTACCATGGACAGGTGTCTTGTCCAGGGTGTACCCTACCTTGTGGTTGTTGCTTGCAACTCGTATATCGAAATATACGTTGGTTTAGCAGCTACAGTACAACAAGGGCAAATGGACTTCCTGAGTTTCTCCCACCTAGAACTCACTTGTGTACACAAATTGCTAAAAAGCTACTTAAGAGCAGTTCTAAGTGGAATCCTTCCCCTGTGAGGAGTGGTCTTTAACACGAGACTAAACAAAACGTCATGCTCTTTGCTTCACATTAACAGGACAGCCTCTGGCACCGAGCCTGTGGAAGAAGACTGGACACAGCTGCCATGAATCCAGTTTCAACTCTGTCTCCCCATGAGACCTTCAGACCTGTCCATATTCTGAATGACTACAAATTCAAGGTTTACATTACAAACCTTAAGAACTAATATTCGAAACATTTTTACTCTTATATTGGTTTGTAAAGCATGTTTAGTCCTTGTATTCATAAAGTTGCACTTCGAATTCATGTGCATACAGTATATTGCTTTTTGTTTTATGCAATTGTTTCATTGCAGCCATACAAGAACCCTTGCAATTCACTGTTCCAATTCCTAATTGTTCTACTAAAGTTAAACTACCCCATCACTGCACGGCAGTCAAAGACCAGAAACTTCCTATATGCTAATATAATGTTCTGAATAGTTCTCTGCAGAATGTTTTTTGAATTGTTAAATGCCCTGTTTTCAGTGGCAAGTTGTGCAGTAAAAAACAAGTACTGATGGCTCGTCTATTAGTATATACATTACAAGATAGTGCTTAGCTCATCAGTACCCTCCTCAGGCAGGCCACTGAATACAATTACCTGTTCATACATTTTACCCAATTACATATGGCCCTGTTGGTTATTATATAGGGGGCTCCAAAGACCATATTTGTGGCCAGAATGACCCAGGCCTTACTGTATTAAAAGTAATTACAGTAATGAAAGACTATCTCTGAAATTGTCTGGGATGACTGATTAGATTTATATTTATAATAGCACAAGTGGAAAAGTTTCCCTGAGTTTACTTCTTTCACATAGTCCCACTGTAAGGCATTAATAGAACTGACAATTAAGCCTCCTTGTGCTGGTTCCTTGAGGATATCAGAATAGAATTAGAAATATTGCTGCTCACTTTAAAAGGACTGAATGGTTTGGCTCCCGACTACATCTGCAAACTTATTTTCAACTCGTCGTTTGTACCCAGTGGACTCTGGCCTTTTATCAATTCCCCAAAATAGGCTCTGAACCCTAGGAGACAGTGATGCTGCTCCAAGACTGAGGAATGATTTCCCAGCCGATATTAGACAAGTTAGTCTGCACTTTCAAATGCTGTCAAAACTCCCTTTTGTAGCTTTTAATCATGTTTAATTAATTTGATTAAATGTGTTTTCAGGCCCTTTTTTGCTTTTATTGATGATCATCAGAGAATATCATGGAAGGCACCACTCAAAAAATGATTGTTCAGGCAGCATAATGATTAGGTCTGATAATTCAGTCCAAACTATCCTGGGTCCTCAGTTTGATTCTAGTCCACTGACACATCTGTGTGGACTTTGCATGTTCTCACTGTTGCTATTCACATCTTCTCGAGGTGCTCCGTTTTCCTTCCACAGCCCAAAGAAAATCTGTCTTGATTAACTGATGTATCTAAATTGCTGTCTGTATAAATGTAACCATTCAGGTTATATTCTACCTTGCACCCACTGTTTGTAGATTAGGCTCTGGTTCACTGGGAATCGTTATTGTACCAAGTGATTATTTCAAAACGGGTGGATGAATTATTCATAAAAAGGTCAGTTTACTTGTCTACTAATGTAAGAATAATAAAAATAATTATAATGCCCATCTTTGATGATGGGCTATAAATAGAAATTCAATTCCCTTTGTAGTGAAATTACACTTCTGAATTGGAGAAGAATGTAAAAATATCTAGATCATTTTACTGTATAAACCATAGACTGAATTTTAAAGCAATTACTGTAACTTCATAATCGTGTGTTGTGATCCGGGAATTATAATATTCTGAGGCGCACAAACTTGCCAAAGAGGATTCAAACCTATGTAGATCAACATTAAAGTATAATCAGATGTATTAATCCAAGATGATGACAACGTCAAATACCACCATTTCTAGGGAATTTAATTCAGTGAACCAGTAAGTTTCCATAACTCACCAAGAGAAGCTGGTTCTAAACACTGGACAGAAAAAAAAAGTATTTCAATCTAAGGATAGGATTTCCAGGGTCGAGTTCAGCTGCATACATTACAAGATATGGAATAATGGCAAAAAGAATGTGCAGTTTGAAACAGAATTTGAGAGACAGCACAGCCAGTGCAAAGAAGGCTTGCAGAAGTAATACCAGTTGGCTGTAAAGGAACAGCAAGAATGGGAACCAGGATGGGAGGATATTAGTTGAAGCTGTAAGGCAATACTGTACCAGCGCAAGCAGGGAGGTAGAAATTTCTGGGTGACATACTGCACCCCCACCCCCAGAAGGCGTGTACACTAGGCCCAGACCAAACCACAGCTAGCAGCTGCAGCAGCATGCTGTCTGCCAGCGTTATCTTGTTTTGTGTTGCTCCATACTACAGCATACAAACAAAGAAAACAAGCCCCAGAATCTATCTTATTGCTTTAGTCTCGATTGATATTTTGTATTATATCTCATCTTGTCATTGAACAATTTGGTTTATACGTTATCTCCTATAAGTTACTGAATGATGTTGTAGGAGGAACCAAAGAACATGGACAAATCTGTTAGATAATTCAGTCAGGTGACCAAAATGAGTACAGCACTTAGCTCCTGTGGCAATGGTTGTATGGTAAACAAAATCAGAACAATTGTCATCTCTTCTACAGCAATTAAGGACTCGAACTCTACAAGTGTCGCCGACGTGCATGAGTGTTGTATTGTCTTGTGCTACTAGAATCTATGTTTTACGCACAAGGGTGAGGTTCCTTCATGGTAGGGGGTTAATGTCACTGCAACCTTGGTGGAGGGTGGAGTGCAGAGCTGCCTGAAGACTGAGAACCAGGAGGCATGGCTTAAGCTGCAAGTGCCTACAATTACGCTGCCTGAACAAATATTCGAGAAGATGGAGTGTGCAGTCCAGAACAAGAAACAGCTACGAGGCCGGCAGACCCTGTAATGTTCGGCATGCATAACTCAAGGCACACTAAGACACTGGAAACTTGCCACTGCAGGATCGTCAGGGCTAGTTTCTGGCAACAGCTTTTTCTTTTGTTATAGAAGTATGATTACAGGTCAATTTTCCATAATTTTAGTTGGGAAAAGAAACAAGGGTTTTAGTAGAACCCCACCCCCATCCCATTTATATCACCAGTACTAGAACAGGGTTCAGGAAATAGTTCCCCCTGTTCAAATCTAAACAACCCCCCACCCCATTCAGGCCCTTCCAATAGGGAATGGCTGAGGCTGTAAGAGGAGAGCAAGTTACCATAAACATCAGATCGGAGACACCATCAGGCTCTGCTGAAGTAAACTGTACATAGAGGGACATACTGTAGGTAACCTGCCTGGGCTATTGCCAGGGGGTTAATAGAAGGGACAGAAAGGATCAGGCTGTGCAGATCCAACACTTGGCCTTGACTCAAATAAGCTAAGCACACTATCAATGATGAGAAAAAGTTACTTACAGGGAGCACATGATAAACATAGGAAAGGTGGAACAAAAGGGAGTGGAACCAGGAGGTAGAGCACAGGATGAGCTTGATTGGGTTCTTGAGATATGATAACCAATAGTCAACACAACTGTTAGAATGAATTAGCTTTTGTAAAATGAATCGAGTGTTGTGCAAAAGAGGTGGATCTAAGCAGCTGTCTACTTTTGAATTTTTTTGGTGATAAAGGGGAGCCTCTCACTCTCACACGCTCTCAGGCGGGAGTGTGAGCAATGCTGGCTCTATTGAACTCCCTCTCTCAAGGCTCCAATCCCTGGCTTGGATCCTAACACTCATTCTCACTCTTGTCCCTTTCCAGGACACTAACTGCATTGAGCAAGAGCAGAAAGGCAGGCTGCAGCCTTGCTCCACCACAAAGCACTGACAGCAGCCGAGTCTCACAGGTGCTGTAGCTCAACAGCGATCTCTCTCTCCTTGGGAAGCATGCAGCTGAAGACTATAAGCCCGCTCACAGCTGCTGCTTGTTAACTTCTGAAGTCTCCACAGCTGGGAGCCGTGGTCACCACGGAACACGACACGTTCTTCCTCTCTGCATTTCACACCGTATATTCGATCAGACAATGGACAAGTGATGTCAAAGAACATAGAAGAACAAGATACCTATCTGCAATGTCTCCAAAAATGAGGGCTCCAATGAGTACTCCAAGCATGAAAGTGGGCTGGGACAGCTTAGCAAGCCACTCTTTCTCACAAACCAAGTCCCATTCTGTCACAATGCTCTGCTGAACTTCGCTCTGATCGTAGATGTAACTGCCCGAACAGGAGTACACGGTTTTATTGCCACTGAACTCGTACACAAAGTCTGCGTCGCTAGTTCTTTTGGCACGGTCGCACTGTGCGAGCTCCCACTGCTCTCCATTTGCCGTCTCCACCAGAACATAGCTCTTCTCTGCAGACCAGTACTCCCAGATGTCATCGAGCGCTGCTCCACTGTAATTGCCATACAGGACAGAAGTGATGTTGCCAGGAGCAGTGCAGACAAATTTGGGAGTTGAAGCCAGAAACACTGATGCTAGGTAATGAATACCACAAGCGATAGACTGAAAGACAGCTGCGAAGTACACACAGGCCTGGAACCTGAAAAGAAAAAAAATATACATTCTTACACTATCGTTAGGTAACAATAATCCACACTGAAGAATTAGCAGAACTCAAAAATAGGTTTTCCAGTTTTAAAATCACTGGTTCCACTGAGCATATCAAGTCTGCAGGCATTACAGACCTTACCCTATATAATGTATATTCACAATAAAGACGTTATGTGGCTAGTGTTTACCTTTATTACCCCCCTGGTGTGCTTTTGTACCATCCCAAAATGCACCTTCTGAAATGCTTTATTTTCTAGACAACTTACAAGATATTTAATTAACTATCACTCAGACTATTAAATAGGTATCTAGTGATTTACTGTATATTCAGTATAACATTAAATGTTTTCTTATTCTACCAGAGGACCAGGATTGGTCTTTGACATAGGCAATCACCATTGTGCAACACTATTTTAATTGGGACGTTTAAATGCGAGTCAAAAAATCCCTCCAGTGGCTGCTGTGCTAATAATTTATGTTATACAGGATACATTAATACTATCTTTATAAAATGTGGTTCTTCTTCATAAGTTCTTGTGTTCTTCAGCTGGAAAAATGGTAAAAAGTCGGGGTTGGAGCTGATAATAGTAGTTTATGTGCGAATCTTGATCTGGAGGGCCCCCTTTCCCAAGATCTTGCCTAGGGTCCTAAGTATAGACAGCATCTGCAAGTTAGTACTGCATGCAAATCTAATTTGTGCCATTGAATCCCCTCAACAGTGTATGCTGAATTGTATTAACTTGAAATTTGAAGTCTCTCACTTTTCTCATGGTAATAGTTCTGTCTGCTTTGATAAACCTCCTATACAACTTACTGTTGTGGTCATTTTTGACATACAAGTACTTTAGATAGCATTTTACTGAAAGAGACTTCAACAAAAGATTGCACACTTTCCTATAGACTCAAAGCAACTGCTAGAATTGTTTATATCACCATTTACAAAATGTAGATGTGAAAATTCTTGTGATAAACTACGTTCATAGTTCTGAAAAATTCTCATTTTAACTCTACAATCTGACAAATGCAGTATAAAAGGATAGCATACTCATACTTTAAACTGGCATTAACTCACTTGTTTGAGGCAATGGCAACCCTGGCCAAAGCTCAGAGCCATCACAACCTTCTGACTAACACAGAATGAGTGAGAGAGGGGTGGGAGACAAGATGGCCACAGAGTTGTGGGCAGCTGGCGAGTAGTTTTACGGAAGTGTGAGATTACAGTTTGACCTCCTCCCACACCTGTTTAACACCATTTGTTGAACTTAATTTTAGAACAACAAAATAAGTGTAAAAAGTGGTTTGCATTCATATTGTTCTTTAAATAGAAATTCAGATACATTAAACAGTAACTTGTGTAACAGTAAAGGTTGCTCAGATGTTTTTCCATTGAGAAAATGACAACTGAAATGGCCACTCAAAGGTTACTAAAGACAAGATCCTGCACATATTAAAGAACATTTTTACTAACTAGGGAGATTCTCAACACTGAAAACCTAACATGACCAAAATGTGTATCATAGCTTGTTTGGCATTTTAGAACAACCAGGACTACATAGGATTGTCTTGTACGTGTAATCTGGGAAGAGAGGCGATATGCTGCAATGATTTTTTCTTTAGGTAATTCTTTTATTTTAATAATAAAAAGTAATATTATTTTACCTTATGGATACATTTGTTCCTTTCATAATTTATGCACACTAGAGATTAACAGTAGCAAGAACTGAAGTCCTACAAAACATTTATACCTTAATGTTAATTTGAATTTTCCCTTGATTTCTTTCCAATTTATTTCTTAAAATGGAAAGGTCTACACAATACAAACATATATTGAAAGTCGAAATGTTTCTTTACCATCCATTTTTCATCTTAAAATAAGCTCATAATACGAAGTAATAACTATTTATCTGGGCATTGTATAAATGTTACAAAAAGACCTGCAATTCACAAACTGGCTTACATGTCTATGTATGTTCACTTCATCCATTTCCCATCATATGTTTTGTAAATTAAATATATAGTATTTAGAGGAACAACATGAATGAATCTTTCATTTGTTTTGGACCGTACATGTTAATCTTGTCATTTTATACAGGATTAGCACACAAATGAACAACCTATTAGCTATGTGGGAAAGTTTTTAGGTTTCTTTGTTTTTTTGTATTACATTGTGTCAAGGTTACTTGACAGATTGGTCAAGCATGTAAAAGACTAAAATAAACAAAGCAAACCTTCCAAAAGCTTTCAAAGCTTGGGGCTTACCCAAGGCCATGATTACACACTGCTGCTTTCTTTGACGTCTGTTTTCACAATAATTCGGAGAACATGATGTTATCGAAAGCCATTCAGCTGCTCCAGAATCCATTTCTTGAAAGAAGTCGGGGTATCAGTTTCATCAAAATGGCAGAGTAGCTTAGCACAGGCACCCACAACCCTTTGTGTAATGAACAGCTGCCTGTTCTGTGTTAAATGCAATTCCTCATATTTTCTATTTGGGTCCTCTGATTTATTTATATATTAAGCATAACCCGACAATTGTTTGCCAGGAATTTGAGGCTTCTGAATTTTGTTTAGTCCTCCCACAGTTTGTACTTATCCTCTTATTTTAGTACAATATGTGCACTAGCTTACTGACCACACCAGAATGTATAGCAGGAATATAAATTAGGAATAACAATGGTTCAAATACAGATCCCTGAGCTACTCCACTAGTTAGCCAGCATTACCTCAATTTTCTATTAACCAGCTCTTAATACATTAATTTAGAACCCCCCCGCCGCAATTGAAGAATCAATCATCTTATAGAACTTCCTTTCTGAAAATGTGATATATAAATATAATATAAAAGGACTGTTGTTGCTTGTTGAAAGAGTTCTAAAAAGTGAAGAAAATGTATAGTAGGTTTTAAGACAATGCCAAGTACCCTTCATAATCCTATGACCAGAGTAGATGGAGAACACTGTGTTCACCTAAATGCCAACGTATTTGCATATCAATTGCCTTAAGTATCAGTCACAGCTGTGAAACGGAGTATATAAAGAGATGTTTGTCACAACTGTAGATATATGCAAGAGTTTGAGAAGGTGTTCTCAAATCTATGCAGACAAACTAATTCACTCCATCAGATGTTCTATTGAAGTAAAGTGAGCTACAAATCACCGGACTGGTTACCTTTCTCTATCAAGTAAGATAGTGTCATGAGATTGACTGAGAAGTTTTAACACTGGATAAACTGTAAATCGAGGCATGGTGAGCATTGTAACCTGGAACTAATTCAGCCAGGTGGAAGTACTGTACTACAAAATATTGTTTATAATGTATTTACACAGCTTCTCAAAGCAATCTTCCAATTACTGTCCAAACAGTGCTCAGTCAGGGCACTGCCTGCAGTCTCAGTCAAGTCTATTTACAGCACTTCAATGTCCGGCAGTAGTTCTCATTCCACCAGTTCGTCATGATATATTTCTGACATCTGTTCAAGTACCAGACGAATTAACATTGCTGCTGCAGTTTTGGTTTTCTAAACGAGGCTATTTCTGACCATTAAGAAATATATTACAAGGTTGTGCAAAGGCCTACTGAAGGCAGAAAAGCTCGGGAACACAACTAAATAGCTCTAAACCAGTTTTAGCACTAGTTTGTGCTATGAGAAAAAAAATCAAAATATGTCTATTAATAAGGAATTAATCACACATTAATCAATATACTTACATTCCAAAAGAATGATTTACTACAACAAGTGATTACTCGGGATACTGATCTTATGAAGCCCTTGTAGCATGCTATTTAATATCACAGATTTCCTTTTTGGACTGTACGGGCTGCAAGGCAATCGGAATATTCTTTTAAATATAGGACTAGAAGTGGTTAAATTCTCATAGAAAAAACTAATGCTGTAGTGCCTGACCAAAAAAAAAAAGCTTAATGAATTATTTTATACGAGATTCTTATTGTGCTAAACGTTCCGTCTTCCTAAACAAAGTCAAAAGAGAAAACTGAACAAAGTATACAGTATATTCAGGAATTGTGCGAACATAAATCACTGTATTTAACACGAATACACCACACAGTGGCGTATTATAAAAAGGTGCGTCATTAAGGTATTCTTCTATACCACAGATGTTGGCATATAAAGTTGTTACCTTCCAAAGTGTCCAAACTCATCAAACAATCGCTCCACAGAACTCATAGTTCTAGATTAGGTAGATCTGCCTCTCTTTCCGTCTCGAAACAGTGAAAAGAGGTATGTGAGCACACGGAGAAGTTGTGTTCTTGTTATAAGGAGCTTGGTAGGAGGGGCAGCGACTTCTCCGGGTGAAGTGAATTTCCACGCTGTTGTGGCGCGTTGATGTTAAGTCCTGTACGTACTGTACTACTAGTAGGGGGGAGAAAAGTTCCCCAAAACTGTCGATACTGCAATATCCGTGCCAATCTGGAAAGAAATTCAGCCCTTGTCTTTGAAAGTAAAACTAGGACTTTTTCTTTTAGAAAAAAATCAATTAATTTTAAACAATTATAAGCGGTGCATGAATTATTCAGTTAACACTTTGTAAACATACGCTACTTTCTCTGTTGTGGCAACTTTTAGTGTAAGTTTACATAACTCACGAATTACAAATATTGTACCGCCGTTTCCATATTGTTAAATTTTATGCACGATAGCAAGTTATTTTATTACACTTTAAAGATTTTTTTAACCCTGATCATTTGCTCATTAAAACCGCACCATATGAGTACAAGTCCTTGGTAAAGGTATTTTCTCCAGTTCAAAAAACTTCCAACTTCTCATACTGTGCCGCCTCCTTTGAGCCATTGCTCAAATCCATCGTTTACCAAAGACATTCCTCAAAAGAAATTACCTACAAAATACCGTCCTTGTTTCCTAGGCGATCAGCCCTCATTCTAGCGTAGCGGATCCTTACAGGTATATATCGTACTTCGTGTCATTAAAAGCGCAACAATCGCTAGCGTTTTCATCACAGTTTTCATTTATTACGTTTTTAATGCCTCTACCTAATACGTATTTGGCGAGTGCTGCGGTTTATTATGGTCTTTCAAAAATTTGATTACTATTCCGAATTTCCCAGCAACAGTAACAAGAACTGGGTTAAGCAGCACTCAAATAAAATGCCACATAAACGAATGGGAAGCGTTACAAAACCTACTGTAAATTAATCACCGGGGACCAGAGGGTTTCAGGTAGGACTTGAGTCTAAAATATAAATATACAATTTAAACTATAAGTCAGATATTTATTAGAAGTAATATAAGTTACAGACCAGAAAGGAGTTCTTGCATATATAGTAAACACAGTTACCCTGACGAAGTACCGTCATTTACAACTTGGAAGCCTATCCTCTGCAGAACGATATCTTCTAATTCTCTCGATTTTGAACTCGTGACATACTCTGGAAGGCTGGAGAAACCTTTTATTTCGATTAGGGTGGTAAAATGTTCTCCTCGCCGTTAAACACTGACCTGTTCAAAGTCGATATTCTTGCAGCAGAAAGAGACCTGTGATGAAGAATTCCATCTCTCGCTGACTCTTACAGCGTTTTCTTTCCCCTCTGATCAGTTTCATTGGAAAGTTCATTTGCAGTGAACAATGAAGTGAAAAATAGCCACAAAAGAACAGTCCACCTGACTCAAGGGTGACCTGGGACGAGGCTGGTGTTCCAATTGAGCAACTTAAATTAGCAAACTGGGTCAAAACTGATTGCAGGTTATACATGACGTACAAAGAAAAGTATCGCGTGAATGCATCATCATTAACATTATGGTCATGAAGCTAGTCAATTATCACAGTGACTACATGTTGATTTTTTAATGTGATTTTTTCCGATATACTTTTTTCCAGTGAGCCCTCAGCAACAGTTCTATGTTAGCTGTTTAGTTGATTCTTAACAGTGAAACCAAAATTCCACAAAATAAAAAACAAGCCTTACAAAACACTTCTTTAGATTATCAGTATGAGCTGTTTTCTATGATTCTTAGGCAATAATAGAGATTGTTTTCTAGCTTCAGTTAAGTGCAGATGGAATACAGTAAGCATTTAATGTTGGAATAGTCCTAACAATTGAATCATCTTAATCAAAGGAGATAAAATCTCTGCCAAGGCCTGTTTCATGCAAACCAGATACCATGAAGCTAAAAGCTTTTAAGAAACAGCATTTGTGTACATTGTCCAAGTAAAGCAAAATCTTGAAATTCTTCCCCAGCATAAACGTTATGACAATAATGTGATGGAAGATGTATAGGGCTTAAGTAATGTCTAATGAAGTTTGATGGGGAGCAGTGCTTACTTCAAAGTACAAAAACAACAGTTCCAAATTGTCAGCTGTTTGGGATCAATGTTAGAAAAACATTGAACACAAAGGTCACTCACTACTTACAAACAGATAATACACCAGAGATCAGTCAGAGCAAATTTTGTCAGGACACAGTGGAATTCAAAATTGTTGGAGTTGCAAATCTTGGACTCCTGTACAAGTTCTAATAAACAATAATTTTATACAAACTGTCTCAAACAAATTGTATCTGTTCAAAAAGAAAAATTGAATGAGTCACATACAGGTAGGTGGACAATAACCAACATGTCCTACTAAAGCAAACATTTACACTTGTTTGTGTTGATCACTACTTTCCAGAAAGCACAAAAGCAAAAGTTGAAGGACTACTAACCTTTCTATAGTTGCGTATAGTATATTTCAGACAAAGAATATGGTACATTACAGGATGTTGCTTAAAAGTCAAATGACAAACTGTGAAAAAGAAAAAGCAAACTAGAAGACACAAATGAAACCTATGTGGAAGTGCATTTAAAACTGAATGCAGGGGGGGCCTTCTTTACGCAAAGGGTTGTTGAAGAATGGAATTACCTGCCCAGCCGTGTTGTTGAAGCCGATATCTTGGACTTCAACAAATAGTGAGTAAAATCCTCGGATCAACTACCAGCTAACTACCAAATGGGTTTTATAAACCCAATGGCCTCATCTCATTTTTAATTCACTGTATTTAATCTTCCTGTACACATCACATTTTTCCTGTTCTGAAGGACAAGTCAGCCACTGCCATAGAACAGATGGCATTCAATAAGCCAGGACATGCCAAATGTTCAGCTGTTTTCCTGTATGTGCTTAAACATCACTTACTGCACTATAAAGCTGTTCTTGTAGCAGTGCGGTACTATTTCCAACCAGGGTACTCATTTTGATAGTCTTTTATTACACTCCTCTATGGGTATTGCCCATTTACACTTATTGCAATACAGTAAACATGGATTACAATGATGTCACAAAAAGTGGATTTTTTCAATTAACTTCAGACAGTAATTTATGGGAAGGGGGGGTGAAAATACAGTACCATAAGAACTGGACGAGGTGAGGGAGGACTACAGCTCCCACAATTCTCCTCCCCAGCTAACATTGAGGGGCAAAGTTCAACTGAGGCACATGAAACAAATAGTTCAGTATACTTTGTCCAGTTTTACCTGACAGAGGAACATCAAAACTATAGGACAACTGTGGAATAGGACACAAGAGGAACGAACAAAAGAGGGGAATTTTTTTAGGTGAATTATTTTTACGTCTTAGTTTTCTCCTTACATTTAAAAATAGTGATGGACTTCTTCAATATCATTGTTGACTTATAGGGCTAGGTAATTGTTCACATCGAGTGTTTCGTATGCTTTAGCGAATTTTATACAGTATCTGTATATTTACGTCACATTAAATATGGCAGCGTCAAGGTGTCGGTGTGGTTAGGGGACCCTATGGACAGTTCAACCGTCACTATCCATAGAGTTTTCATGGCGAGGCCTCCTGCACATGAGCTAAAGGCGGCGGAGGTACCCACTACGCGCAGGGAGGGCGATGACGTCACCGTGTCCGAGTAGATTGCCTGGCCTTTCTTCCGCACAGAGACCACCAATACCGCCCCCCCTACTGCTGCAGCCCAGTATGGGTTATTAGAGAACCTTGCGCTTGACGTGGGACACGAACCCACTACCCTGAGATTATGAGTCTCATGCTCTACCAACAGATCTATTTGAGACCCTATCAAGGTGTCGATAGCCCGTGGAAATCTGTATCCCCTTTCATAGTGCGGAGGCGAAATGTAAATGCGCGTTTACTACAGACAATACGAAGCCCGTGCACCTGCAGTCAGACAAATCTTACTTTAGATTTACCCAGCACCTCCGCACTTTAAAAGGGGATACAGATTTCCACGGTATACTTAATTCTATACGACACTGATGCTAAGCAGAAAATACTTGTTTTGAAATAATGTAGGTCTATGTATTTTAGATATTTAAACGATTTTGATGGTACTTCTTAACTAAGAGGCTATGCATGTTTTTTTTTTAAACTACCTGGAATAGCAGTGATCAGTACAATAAAGTTTAAATGACTACTGAACTTTGAATTGTTCAAACTATTCTGCCATTGTAGATCTGGCGTTATTCTCGCTGCACGAAAAGCAAGCTACTGTACCTGCACCTCATACGAATATTACGGCAGCATCCTGTACGCTGTCGCACATTCAGGAGAACGTACGGCTTCTTATTGCCTGCCTAATTCAAAGTTCATGAAATTCTCGGAATGAGTTTTGAAATATTTTTCTTGAAGCATCTGGACTCTGACGTAAAACAAAAAAAAAATCCTGTACAGTATATTAAGAAACAGAAACGACTGTAATTGTGTGGATTACAAGTGTTAAAATATCTACAAATGTGACAGAGGAGCCTGTCACGAAGTACAGATAGTACGGAAAATACAACATTCATACACCTTCCGTTGAGCGGTTGCTAAAAAAAGTTCCTGAGAGTGCACACTCAGGGTTTGACTAGTAACTGCAATTACTTAATTTCATATACATTCACGTACATAAATATACTTAAACACAGGTATGAGTGAGTACTGTGATGTTAATAGAGACCGCTCTCAATGGATGATACTGTTTGTTTGGTGTCGGTACTTCCGGGGTGGGTCAGCCTATGGTGGCCTCAGAAGGCCAAACCTAACCCCGGTTCTCAAGGGTTATTTAAGTAAATGGGAAAAACCCATATACTTTGAATTACAAGCTATTTAAGTTGCCTCCTCAGTCTAAGGGGTGTTGGTTGTTGGGTGTTAGGACTGAAAACAGAGAGAAAGCAATAAGGAGGATTTATTTTCATTTAAAGAATTAGTTTTGTTTCTTTTTGGGGTTTTGTTTCCTGGTGTGGGGGACTGGGAGCACTGTAAATAAACTGCACTTATTTTACTTGAGTGTTTTTGTGACAGACCCATTTCGTTATAAAACAGACCTACTTTGGCCTTACTCAGGCCATTGTGTGACAACAAAAATCAAGGAAGAACGTATCATATCTCATAAAATCGTGTTTTGAGGCTGAAACCGTTTAACTGGTCTGTTAAACTGGGGGTGTGGATGTTCCAAAGCAAGGGTTAAGTCCAATATTACCAGGATAATGTGAAGTCATTAACAGTTCAATAAGGTTTTTGTGCATTCATCAAGAGTATCGCAAACAATCTGAAATAATTCAAATATATATATATTTACGACAGTTTAAAACAGCAGCATAAGAACAGAATTGGAAGACCAAAAGCAGAATGATCAGAATGTGATATCCTTCAAGCAGTGACAACGGCCATGTGTGTGAAGTTATTTTCTGCAGTGCTCAAGGACAGTTAACCCTCATGTTTATTGCAGTACTAGCAACACCAAACATTTAGGGCATGAAGAGATATTAACACAATGCTTTTGAACCGTGTTACCAATCACTTATAATCACTGCTGGGTAAATCATTGAATAATATTTATAGTAACTGGAAACCTGGAGTTTTCTCAGCACCTTATCAGTGTTTTAAGAACAGTCTAATTATAAACCTACTATATGTATGTAATACAGATTCAAAGCTGAAATATGACTTACCTTATCCATTCGATATAAATTCTATACAAATTCAGCATCCCTCATAGTGTATGAGTACATTAAATTGGCAAACAGTACTATTCAGTTATCTATTCACTTGAGTTTTGGAAAGTACATTGCTATGTCATTGGTGGCATTGGAGGTGCATTGATTAACATTGCTTTCTTGTAGTACTGAGGCCATGGGTTGAATTCTGGACCCTTGGTGCTCTCTGTGCAGAGTTTGTACAGTATGTTACCCATCTGTTCATTTACTGTAGGTGTCCTCC